CGCGCAGGTCCCGCCCCTCCACATCAACAGCAGTGATGTGTTCAAGGGGAATGTGCCCGCGTGGAATGTCGCCATCGCGGCTCGACTTGCAGTACGTCAGCGCCGTGTCCGTCAGCCTGAAGAAGCGAGTGCGAAACCCTTTGTGCCGCCCACCCCTCTTCTTCAGCCATCCCCCCATACGCACCACGCCGCCAAACTTGCCAATGCCGACCCCCAGCCCGTCGCCGCCCTGCTCTGCCGCAATCCGGGCTGCGCACCCGCGAGCGATGCCCAAGTTGCGCTCTGTTGCCACCGTGAACGGGTGTTCGGGTCCCAGCGTGCCCATGAACACTGCCACCGCCTCCTCCACCATGCCGACGCCTCGTGCGCCGTGGCCCTGCTTCACCAGCGTCGTGCCCAAGTTCGCCAGCGCCAGCCCAATGTCCGGGTGCGCGTCGCCGAGCACAGCGCGCTTGATGGCGAGATCGCGCTCGTAATACTCAACGGCGCGGGCAAAGTCGCCCCTCTCATCGTATGCGTTGCCGAGGTTTCCCACCGCCATGGCCGTGCTCGGGTGCTCCTCCCCAACCGTCACCAGGAAGATGGCCAGCGCCTTGTTGAAGCACTCGATCGCATCGGCGTACTGCTTGCCCTCCAGCAGCACCGTTCCCAGGCTGTTGTACGACTGCGCCACCAGCGGGTGCTCCTCCCCCAGCGCCCGGCAGCCCGCCCGAATCGCCCGCTCATACAGCGCCACCGCCTTGCTCGTGTCGCCGTTGTTGTCGTGCGCAAACCCGAGCGTCTGCAGTGCACACGCCGTGTCGCGGTGGTCCTCGCCCAGTGTGCCCACCAAGATGTCCACGGCCCGCTGGCAGCACGTGACGCCTGTTTCCGCGTCCCCGGCCTCCGCGGCTGCGCTGCCGATGTTGGCGTACGCCTTGGCCGTCAGCGGATGCTCGTCGCCGACGGTGGCGCGGAAGATGGCCAGCGCCTTTGCGCCGCACTCCGCAGCCTGCTCGTAGTCGCCGTTGCTGCGGTGCGCCTCGCTCAGGTTCACGTATGTCACGCCCGTGTCCTGGCTGTGCTCGTGGCCATGGGCCAGCGCCACGCCGAGGTCCTTCATGTGCAGCTCAATGGCCCGCTCGTGCTCTCCAAACTGATCCAGCACCGCCCCCACCTGTCCGCACAGCAGGCCGTACAGCTGCGTCTCCGTCTCGCCCGACTGCTCAAGCTCGTCGACGAAGGACAGCGCTGCCTGCAAGCACCACTGTCGCATCTGGTTCTTGACGGCCTCGTCGAGCGCAGGAAAGCCGACGCTGGCGCGGATGGCCCCGAAGATCATGTCCCTGTCCTCGGCTTTCCAGGCCTCTGCTTTCTCTGCCTGCACGTCCACCAAGGCATCGGTGACCACGTCAAAGTTCTGTGCCAGCGCCTGTCGGAGCTGGCCACGCTCCCCCTTTGGCAGCCTGATCTCCAGCTCCACCTCGGGCTGGCTGATGCTGCAGAAGATTTCCCACAGGCACCACGCGCGCGTCAGCGGCACGGGGTTGTTCCAAGGCGTCAGCACCAGCAGCACTTTGCCGATGGATGCGATCGAATCCTTGAACGTCGTGCTCCACCTGCAGCGTTGAGTTGTGGGGTGTTGGGGGGGGGGGGGTGTCGAGGAGGGGTGTGAGATGGTGTGAGTGAGTGGAGTAATTAAGAGTGTGGTACAGTGACATGTGACGTTGTATGCGGGGGCCGATCGCCAAATCCCATATGCATACGCACACAGAGGGGGAGAGAGGGAGAGGGAGGGGGAGAGAGAGAGTGTGTGTGTGTGTTTGTGTGTGTTTGTTTGTGTGTGTGTGTGTGTGTGTGTGTGTGTGTGTGTGTGTGCGTGTGTGTGTGTGTGTGTGTGTGTGTGTGTGTGTGTGAGCCGTTGTGCTGGACCATGTGCGTTGCTCTGACCCCAACAGCCATCGTTATCGCTCAATCAACCACACACACATTCACACACACACACACAACACTGACCACTCTTGGGGGAGGTTGGCGGTGACGTTTTGATGCTGGTTGTTCATGAAGAGATCGAACCAGAAGTGGGTCTTGCGGCCATGCTTGCTCTCCTCCTCCTCGGCAAACTCCAGCAGCGTGGTGAGGACATCCACGATCTTGTAGCGCCACGCATGCGACACAAACACGGTTGCAGGGCGCACGTCATCACTGCCGTTTTGATCCCGCATCACGTCAATGTACGCGCACTGCTTCTCCTCTGTTTGTGGCACAACAAACTCCACGCACGCCTCCTGCGTTGTCATGTCCTTGTGCTTCTCTGGAAACGCCGTCTCAAGGCCCTGCAGGAAGGACCGGATCGCTCCCGCAGACACCCCATCCGTGTTGATGCCGGGTGGAGGCATGATGGCTGTGCGCGGGCGTGGTTTGGTGTTCTGAAGTCGGGAAGAATTGCAACATCACCCAGCAACATTCGAATGCTTTGGGTGTGTGTGCGTGTGTGTGTGTGTGTGTGTGTGTGTGTGTGTGTGTGTGTGTGTGTGTGTGTGTGTGTGTGTGTGTGTGTGTGTGTGTGTGCGTGTGTGCGTGTGTGTGTGTGTGTGCGTGTGTCTGCCTCTGCCTCTCCCTCACTCTCTTAATCAAATCCGCACACGCACGCACACGCACGCTTGAGAGCTGTGTTTAATGCTGGGAAATAGACACGACCAACAGAAGATGTCTAGAGATGGCATTCATTCATGTACACAGGGAGAAACATCGAGAGCAGCTACATCAAGACAAGCACAGGAAGAAGAACAGGCAATTGCACGAGCATGGACAGGAGGTACACGCACACGCGCGCACAATACAATAAACCCACCAACTACGCGCGCGCACGCACAGCCAAGCGGGCACCATGGGCCTAGAGTCGCCTTCGCCATAGCAATCACTGCCATCACCAGTCGCTGTCAGCAGCACCAGCATCCACCAGCATCCACCACAACTAGCATCAACATCACCCCTTGCACCACAACACCACCACAACTAGCATCAACATCACCATGTCAACCTCCCCCCCCCCAATCACATCACACCACCACCATCAATAGCAATAACACCACCACTTTGTCATGCAAACGTCCATCTGTGGACCTTCTGGCGATAGGTGCTGTTCATGTGCTTGTCGGAGGTGTGGATGATGGAGTCTGTCACGGTGGGAAAGGCCAGGGGAGGGTTCAGCACGCGCACGGGCACGCCAATGTCTGCCAGCCGGGGCCAGGCGTGGTCGACGGGCAGGTGTGCAAACGCCGGGTCCGCCAGCCACGCGTGCATGAGCCGCACGGCCTCCGTGTCCACCACAAAGGCAAACGTGCCGTACGTGGCGTTGGCGGCGTTGTAGCAGATGCGGTCTGCAACGTTGGGCTGCGCAGAGATCTCCGTGTCAATCTGGATCCACCCAGACGTCCACTTGGACACGCGCGGGTACGTGCCCTCGCGCCAGACGGTGCCGCCAAGCAGCAGCGCGCCGCCGGGCGCAACAGACAGGAACTGCCCGCACCGCTCGTTCGTGCGCAGGATGTGGTCGAGCTTCTCTGCAAAGCCGGGCCCCAGGATGGTGTCGTCCTCAAGGAACAGGTGCAGCTGCGGCGCGTCGGCGGACGCGTCTGCTGCCAGCAGGATGTCTCCCATGGCCCGCAGGTACGCCAGCCGCAGCCCAATCACGCTCGGGGACGCCGTCGGCGCGTCGCTCTTCTCAAAGTTGCCAATCAGGTCCTGGAACAGCTGCGGCCCGTCAATGCCGGCCACCATCTGCGTCGTGACGCCCAGCGACCGCAGCGTCTGCGTCAGGTTCGTCGCCCGCCGCACAGAGTCCGGGCGGCTCGGCAGGTACACGGTGTATGCCTTGAGCTGCGCCAGCGTCTTCGGGTGCGTCGGCGCCCGCGTCGGGCACTCGCGCAGGTCAAGGCCGCACAGCTCGTACTGCCGCGCCGGGTTGTGCACGCACATGCGCTGCACGAGCGTCTTGGTGTCGTCGGGCATGGGGATGGGCAGGTGGAAGAGCGGCAGGCGCATGGCCTGCGTGGCCGCGTGCAGGCTGCGCATGTCCTCGGGCGTCTGCAGCGGACGCACCGTCACGGCCTGCACAAAGCTGCTGTAGAACCTGTGGTGCACGGGGGGCGACATGGCGCCCATGGGCTTGATCACGGTGCCGTTTGCAGCAACGTCCCAGTACCGGTGCATGAAGGCCCACTTGAACCTGCGGTCAATGTGCTCCATGCACGACACCTTCGCCACGAGCTGCACAACATACGAGAAGGCGCGGTCGCCGCTGTGCGGCAGCATGCCCTGCGGCAGCTCCTCCGTACCGGACGGCAGCATGTTGAGCAGCTTGGCGGTGATGACGTGGGCCGGGCCGAGGCAGAAGGGCGCAACGTCCTCCGCAGGGCTGTCCTCGCTGTCGCCGACGCGCATGCCCGCAAACAAGGGCTTCGACGACGGCATGTGCGTGGCCAGCTCCACGAGGTTGTTGAGGTTGACGTACGTATCCGCGTGCACCCGCAAGAAGTGCGTGTATCGGCTGCCCAGGATGGACTTGACCTTGTCCCACATGCACAGCACCTTGGCGATGGGCGAGTCCCGCTGCGAGCACTCGGGCATGTGCATCACCATGTCCTGCTCCAGCGCGGCATCCCCAAAGCAGCCCGGGCGCGAGCCGTCCACCACAAACTTGGCCGTCGCAAACTTGCGGGCCACCGTCCCTGGCGCGTACCACGTGTCGAGGATGGTGGGCGCCAGCTGCGCCGCGGTGTCGCAGTCCGTGGCAATGGCGATGAACACGCGCGTGCCCTGTGCCGCCGCGTAGTCGAAGGCAGCCTGCGTCGACTTGGGCAGGGAAAAAGTGGCGCCAACGCCGCTGCCCGCCATCGCCACGGCGCACACGCAGCACATGACCACCACGACCGCCGCCGCGGCCGATGACGTCGATGACAGCGGCAACGGTGACGTGCGCCGCATCGCTCGTGTGTGTGTATGTGTGGGAAGGGGGATGAAAAGGGGAGGAGGAGGAGGAGGAGGAGGAGGAAGGCGGGATGCAGCAGTGTGGGGAAGCAGTGTGGGGAAGCAGGCGCACACTAAAAGGAGGTTTCGCGCGCAAACGCAGGCGCAGACGATGCGAACGAAGTGGAACAGCAAGACTGAGTGTGAAATGAATGGATGGGTGAGTGAATGAAGGAGTGAGTGGGTGACAAGGGATGGGGGGGTGAGTGAGTGAATGAAGGAGTGTGAGAGTGTGTGAGGTGGTGCGTGAGTGCGGGTTGCTGGTGGTGTGAGCAGCGTGACTGCCGCAATGGATGGATGGGATGGATGACGTTTGTGGCTGTTGTTGGTTGTGTGTGTGGGAAAACGTGAGAAACCCTGAATTCAGGGAACGGTTTCTCGTGCGGCAGCATTCCACCGCGGATGGAGGGGCTTGTGTGGGGCGATGCGTGGCTGTCTCTCTCTCTCTCTCTCGCGTCCAGCAAGTCTCAGTGGTTCTCTCTAATAAGCTCTAAGAAGAGGTGTTGACGACGGAAGGACGGACTGGGTTCACATCACGACATACACAGGACTTTCTTGTCTTGCCACCAAATGAACACGCTCGACAACAAAGCTCCAATCACGCGATGAGGCGATGCACAGAACAAAACAGCAAGCAAAGTGCCAACGCTCCAACGTGCAAGCTCCTCGTGAACAAAGGGTAACGGTGTGTCGTCACACAACAAAGGCGGGGGAAACTAAATGGTAGGATGCAGGCAGGCAAACAGACACACACACACACACACAGACACACACATGCACACATGTGGCTAGAGTTGCGCTGTGAGTGCTGCTTTGTTCACCTTGACAAACACTTTCGCAAATGGCAAGACCTGCGCCTCTTGTGAGACTACATACTCCTCAAAGTCAAAGGTGCCAGGTGTGGGCGCTCTGGTGGATTGGTAGCCCATGCGCTTTGTGACTTGGATGTAGTGGGTGTTGCAGCCTTTATGCAGCGGTTTGCCCCAGAACTTCTTGCACTTGTTTTCCCCAGACGATGGGTAGTCCTTACTCCTGGTGATCGGGTATGCGAGGCCGACGCTGACAGCGCACAGGAGCATCACGTGCTCCCCGTCTGCGTTGGGCGGGCGCCAATTCCCAGTCAGCAGGGTGGTTGCGTAGCCAGCCGCGCAATTGGCTTGCGGCGTGAGGTAGATGCCAGCACCAAAGAAGCCAGGGTCGTTCGGGTTACTGAGGTTGGCGGTACCCGCGGCGGTGATGTCGTCGGCGACAGCCTCGTCACAGCCGTGGAAACCAATCAGCACGTTGACGTGCTTCACGCTGTCGGGTGTTTCTGCAAACTGCGTCTTGAGCCGATTGAGCATGCCTTGTTTCTCCGGATCGCCAGCCCCAAAGTCCTTGTTGAAGGGCTTTTGACCACCACGACGAGTCGCCGATTTCTTCATTTCGGTGTGAAAGGCATCGAGCATTGTGGTGGACTTGGTCATCTCTACGCGCGACAGGGTGAGGCCCGGCGCCATCTGACTCTCTATCCACCGGTAGAGGTCTGTGTCTGGTGGCAGCGGTGCTGAATACACGCCATGTTCACTCGGTCCGCTCCACGGAAGCTGCTCATCAAAGGTGTCATCAAGCCGCCACGCGCGGTGGTGCCACTCGTGATCGCGCAATTGCCAGGAGGGCATGACGGGTGATTGTTGCGTGGGTGCTTGCAGCAGCAGATCGCCAACGCGATCGGACACTGGGTTCTGGCCTTCCCTGTGGTGCGTGGACGTGACGAGCTCGTCTGTGCCCTTGTCCGTCAGGGCCTCGAGCTTGTGCGCGGCTGGGTGGTTTTCGTGGCGCTTCAGGTGTTTCGTGCTGAGGACGAGGTGGACATGGTCAATCCCCCTTGCTTCCTCTTGCAGCAAACACAGCACCTACCATCAGTACCGCAAGCGAGCAGAGGATGAGCAGAGGATGGGATGAGGGTGAAAGATCAAAGCTGGCCATTCGCTGGTAAGCGATGGGCACAACAACGCAAGCTCACACACACAACATACATGCCCACAAGCACTCACATTCACTCACAATCGCTCACAAACTGACTTTTGTCATGAATGGCAGGGCCTTGTGCTCTGCGCCGCCGGGTGCCCTCACCCACACATCCACTTCTCGATCGCCCCGCAGCAGGCCAAGGCACTGCACACCATCACGCTTGCAGCAGAAGGCATTCTTCCACACCCTAAGGTTTGTGCCAAACGAATTGTGCAACAAAGTCTGCACGTGCGGGAAGAAGCCCGGTGGTAACGCAAGTGCCTTGCTCTCGACCACCAGCAGTCGTCCACTGTAGACGGGCCAGAAGCCCGTTCGAGGCCAGGCATCGTCAAGATCGACCTCCTTCTCAACATGGCTCGGCAGCATGAATTGCCGCTGGCCATCGTCCGAAGGCGGCAGCTCGAAGCAGAGGAGCGTGTGCTGCAGGACGTTGATGACGAGGTCTGCGCTAGCAATGCCTCGGAATGCGGTCTCCAGGTCCGTGAAGGTCACGACGCCTTTCGTGGTAATGGAGCCTTGTTGCACGCCATCTGGCGTCAGCGCTCTCCCCAACACGTCATGAAGCAGCCAGTTCGGGTCGACGAAGATGAAATCCGCCAAGGATGGGGTGTTGGAATACCACAGAAGATCACCGCGCGAGTGGAGGTACCTGTGGACAGAAATTCAGAAGCAGGGGAGCAGGTGACGGGTGTGAGCGCGCAACGCACGATTGAGGGTTGAAGGGGTGGGGCATTTTAGTGAACACCTCAACCGCCACGGCGCGTGCACACACACACACACGCACACACAGACACACACACACAGACACACACACACACACACACAGACACACACACACACACGCGCGCGCGCGCGCGCGCGCGCGCGCTCGCCCGTTTTGCCTGCCTGAGTGTTTGGTGAAAGGGGTCCTCGTGGATCATCGAGATGAGGTCGATGCCATTCCCGCTGCCTCGAACAAAGTCCAATAAATCATCCACGCGCCACATCGCCTTGCTCTTCGCTGCTTTCTTTAAGGCCCCTGCCACTTCATTCACCACCTGTGGCACCAGCATTTTGAGTCCTTTCAGCCACCGCCAATGGTCAACAAGCTGTGATCGGAGCACGTCAAAACCAGCCTCGCCACCCTGATGACAGTTGAGCGGGGTAAGAGTAGCTTGGATATCGATGATGCTGCCGAAGGTGTGCTGTAGGTGCGCGACCATCGCTGCGCCCCACGGCGGCTGCCCATTCGCATCCACAAGTCTTTTCTTGCGAGCAAGGTCTCTCTTGGTGCCCACAATGAGCACTCGCGGCTTCACCTCTTCCATGGCATCTTCTGTCTCGCCGCCGCCCGCCGTTGCTGAAGCGGCTGCCATGCCTTGCTGGAGACGTGTGCAGATGAACTGCAGCCAGTAGTTGGCGCGCTCCTTCACATGTTCTTTCGGCTCAGACAGGTCGACACAGACGACAAAGGCAGCGAAGCGATCCGACATCATCAGCGTGTGGATGACGTGATATGCGAGCTGCCCGCCAAAATCATACACGCGAAGAGACGCAGCGTTGTCACCGTCGTTGCCTTGGCTTGTGGTGTCTTTCAACTTCATTTCACAGACTCGAATGCCGGGCGTGCGCTCGTTTCGGCGGTCTGGGTCATTTGCTGGTTGGAAGATGGTGCGTGTGAAGCGGCGAAACAGGCTGCCTGGCAGGGACTTGATCATGGTGCTTTTGCCAATGCCGTAATCGCCGCATACAAACACCTTTGCTGTCTCAAGAGGGACGGAGCCGGTTTCAAGCAGCTTCAGAAGATCGAGCTGCTCTTGATAGGCGGCTTTGGCGGAAGAGTCGAACCTGTCCTCTGTTTCGAAATCACTGAAGAGTGCAGAGTGGACGGTGAATGAGGGGAGGAAAGAAGATGGAGTGGGACGGGTGTTTAAAGCAAGAACAAGACTGGCACACCATTGCTGTACGAACTCACGCGAAGACAACGTCGAAGTGTGGCTGCTTGGTGCGGAGAGTGGCCAGTGCACGGGCGACGGCGGTGGAGGATTTGAGCTTGTCCTCGTACAGCCTGTGATGCCGTGAAGAGGGAATGTGAGATGAAAGAACTTGAACTGAGGTTGAGTGCGGGGGGGGGGCGTGTGCGTGGAGCGAGGTGGCAAGCACACGTGACCTCACAGAATCTTGGCCTTGGCGTCGATGCCTTGCAGCTGCTTCAGCACATTCACCATGCCAGACTCCGTGATACCATTGTGGTAAATGCTGTTGGATGAGATTAAGATCAGGTGAGTTGGCAACAGGAACGAAGCGGGTCACTGTTGCAGGCAGGAATATGCCCTGCTTGCTTGCAACATGTTCGCGCGGCGGCAGTGACAGCGCAACAGCGACGCAGCCCATTTCCATCCATACATGTACATGTGTGCGTGTACACACTCACCCGAGCCATGTGAGGGTCGTGTTGTGCTTCAGCATCTCCGCCAACGCCACGGCGCCCTCAGGGCCGATGGAGTTCTCACTCAGGCTGTCAAGACGGTATGGTGGATGCCACACAGGGGGATGATGCCACATGGGTGAGAAAGAGTGAGTGAGTGAGTGATGATGATTGTTGTAGGTGTCAACACAGTCATCAACCACACATGTGCACGTGATAAGGTGCAGCGGCAGTGACGCAGCATACATGTGTGTGCATGTGTGCGTGTGCGTGTCCACACTCACCCGAGCCATGTGAGGGTCGTGTTGTGCTTCAGCATCTCCGCCAACGCCACGGCGCCCTGGTCGCCGATGGAGTTCTCACTCAGGCTGTCAAGATGATATGATGCCACGCAGGGGGATGATGCCACATGGATGAGGAAGAGTGAGTGCGTGAGCGTGATGATTGTTGTGGGTGGCAACACAGTCGTTGAACCCCACCCCACCCCACCACACATGTGCACGTGATAAGGTGCAACAGGCAGTGATGCAGCATACATGTGTGTGTGTGTGTGTGTGTGTGCATGTGTGCGTGTCCACACTCACTGGAGTTCCTTGAGGGTCGTGTTGTGCTTCAACATCTCCGCCAACGCCACAGCACCCTCATCGCCGATGGAGTTGCCATCCAGGCTGTCAAGATGATGTGATGCCACACAGAGGGATGATGCCACATGGGTGAGGAAGAGCGTGATGATTGATGTGGGTGGCAACACAGTCATCAATCCACACATGGGCACGTGATAAAGGTGCAGCGGCAGTGACGCAGCATACATGTACATGTGTGCGTGTACACACTCACTCGAGCAATGTCATGGTCGTGTTGTGCTTCAGCATCTCCGCCAACGCCACGGCGCCCTCAGGGCCGATGGAGTTCTCACTCAGGCTGTCAAGACGGTATGGTGGATGCCACACAGGGGGATGATGCCACATGGGTGAGAAAGAGTGAGTGAGTGAGTGATGATGATTGTTGTAGGTGTCAACACAGTCATCAACCACACATGTGCACGTGATAAGGTGCAGCGGCAGTGACGCAGCATACATGTGTGTGCATGTGTGCGTGTGCGTGTCCACACTCACCCGAGCCATGTGAGGGTCGTGTTGTGCTTCAACATCTCCGCCAACGCCACGGCGCCCTTATCGCCGATGGAGTTGTTGCTCAGGCTGTCAAGACGGTATGGTGCCACACAGGGCGATGATGCCACATGGATGAAGAAGAGTGAGTGAGTGCGTGATGATGATTGTTGTGCGTGGCAACACAGTCATCAATCCACACATGTGCACGTAATAAGGTGCAACGGCAGTGACGCAGCATACATGTGCATGTGTGCGTGTGCGTGTCCACACTCACCCGAGCCATGTGAGGGTCGTGTTTTGCTTCAGCATCTCCGCCAACGCCACAGCGCCCTCAGGGCCGATGTCATTGCCAAACAGGCTGTCAAGTTGGTGTATTGTCACGCAGGGCGATGATGCCACTTGGGTGAGGAAGAGTGAGTGCGTGCGTGAGTGATGATTGCTGTGGGTGGCAACACAGTCGTTGAACCCCACCCCACCAACCACACATGTGCACATGATAAGGTGCAACAGGCAGTGACGCAGCATACATGTGTGCATGTGTGCGTGTACACACTCACCCGAGCCATGTGAGGGTCGTGTTGTGCTTCAGCATCTCCGCCAACGCCACAGCACCCTCATCGCCGATGGAGTTGTTGTTCAGGCTGTCAAGACGGTATGGTGGATGCCACGCGCGATGATGCCACATGGATGAGGAAGAGTGAGTGAGTGAGTGATGACTGCCGCGGGTGGGTGGCAACACAGTCATCAATCCACACATGTGCACGTAATAAGGTGCAACAGGCAGTGACGCAGCATACATGTACATGTGTGCGTGTACACACTCACTTGAGCCATGTCATGGTCGTGTTGTGCTTCAGCATCTCCGCCAACGCCACAGCGCCCTCATCGCCGATGTTGTTGTCCCACAGGCTGTGCAGGCACACAAGGAAACGCAGGGAGCGAAGGTGAACACAGGTCCAAACATGCGCAAGCAGGGGAGAAAAGGGGTGCAACGTGCAACACCGCCATCCCAGTCAACCATGCATGTCACACGATGCAGATTCATCATCACCACGCACAGGAGCGTTTCGAGGCAGGTGTTGTCCTTGAGCGCCTCGGCCACCGCACGCGCCTCAATGACGCCGAGGCCATAACCACCCAAGCTGTAATTTCAAATGGTGTGTGTCATGCAATGGGCAAGAAGACTGAGGATGAAGAGAGCAAAAACATGAGGGTGCCAGTCACAACCTGCCACAAACACACATCGTGTGTCTAGGCGGTGCGAGGGGACAGGACACGTACACGTGAACACCCAACAGCAAGCCACACCAAGCTCATTGCAACACAAGGACAAGCCAAGCAGCAGAGAGAGAGGGGAGAATAAGCACAAGCACAACCACAAGAAGTGTCCTTGTGTCCAACACATGCATGCATGTTCCAACACGTCGTTTTGGTTGCTTTTGCACTCACCCCACATTGTCCCCACACGTGTTGTTGGCGATGGCCCTGATCTCTTCCTTCACCCCATCCTTCAGCTTCGTCTGCGCCAGCAACGCCTCCACCTCCTCCCTCGCTCTCTTCTCTCCGCCGGACATGGCGACGGCGCGTCGTCTTTTCTCCTTGTGGCTTGTTGTGACGTGTTCGTGAGTGACTGGAAGAAGACGACGACAAAATGGACGACGACAACTCAACGCGCTGCTTTGTTTGTTTCCTTTGTTTTGTGTGTGTGTGTTTTGCGACTCAGCCATCTGGACGATTCGCAAAACCTTACAGAGGTTATCCGCACAGCAGCGCTTCCGTGGAAGATGTTCGTCAACAATCTCATTCGAGCCCTCGTTGTCGACAGAACACAACAAACAAACAGGATGAAGTGCCTCCAGCCAACCAGCAGCACGCAACTCGCTTTGTCGCGCCGAAAGGAACAACAGCCGCTCCTCCCAGCATCTTTTGGCTTGCCTGGGTCGGACAATACACCAATG